CAACTCACTGTGGGACTCGCGGGCTCTCAGAGACTCTCCAGGGGCGGTGGCTTGGGGGGCTGCTAGGCCTGTGTGGCATCGGGGGGCACAAGGAGCCCTGTGCAGGCCCCTCTGGCCGCTGGCTTGCCTCAGAGCCTGCCTCCTGGACAGCCTTGACTTCGGGGCTGAGACTCTATAAGAAACAGAACAGGGTGAGCTGGCACGGGCACCTCGGGTCCATCTCCTGTTCGGAAAAGTGGGAGGCAGGCTTCATGTGACAGTGGGGCGGCTGACAGCACGCTGGACGGCATGCTCCCATAAGCAGGCACCGGGCTGAAACAGATGGGCTTACCCTCAAGGAACCCTGCACCCCAGTGCTAATCATCCCCCGACAGGCACAGACACAAGGCCAAAGTGGCGTCTCAGGGCTGCAACCAAGGCTGTGTTGGGAATCCGGCAGCCCCGGGTGCCCCCTCCTGCAGGCTGGCCTGGGGCAGGCAGCACACCCACCTGGTGGTCATCCCGCTGTGTAAATGCTGGCCTACACCTGGTGCTTCCTGAAAACCAGCTCATCCCATCCTCACCCACCAGGTGAGAATATCAGCATCCCCGGCTTGCAGAGGAGACGCTCAGGCTGGGGAAGGCAGCCCCATCACATGTCCACAGCCTCCTTCATGCAACAGCGGCAGGGACGGGGAGCTGGACCAAGGATGCCCTTGCAGCTCGGGGTCCCCCAAAGGGCTGGCCTCTCCGAGGAGCCCCAGGCCATGTGCTTCTTCCTGCCTGGGAGCCCCTTCCACTACCACTGGGGGTCTGGCTCCTCCTCCAGGGCTCAGCCAGGGCTGCTTTGCTGGGAGATCTGCTTGGCCCTGGAGCAGGGGGCCGCCCCACCCGCCCTCCATCTGTACCCCTCCAGAGTCCCTTTCCACCCTGGGTCATGGATGTTTTTATAAGGGTCTTGCACATTCCCACAAAGCAGCCAGGTGACAAGCCTTTCCTGGCCACGGCGGAGCCTCCAGCCCAGGTGAGAGCGCCCACCTGAGGCAGCTGGGTCGGGACCTGAAGCTCCTGCTGCAGGCGGGCCAGGGACCTCTGCACGGAGACGGTGTCCTGGGCATGCTGCAGGAGCAGTGTCCTCTCTCGGTGCAACAACAGGTGGCTTTTCCGCAGGTGTTGGATTTCCCTCTGAACCAGGCAGAGGAGGAAACATCAGCCCAGTACGAAGGCACACATGGGGGGCGAACGCACTGATGAGCGGGCGCAG